GCCATTCCCAAACTCAGTAACACCGAGGCCCCCTTAAAAATCTGACGGGTCTGCGTGGCCCCCCCAAAATAATAACCAAGAAGACAACATTAAGAATAGGCTCTTCTGGTTATTTTATTTTGGGGAAATAGCCTCTGCTACAAACATTGTAATACAAAAATGATTACAGTGGATTATTCAAGTCAAATAATGAACACAAATATTTTAATATTACAAACAAAACATTATAAATTTAACATTAAATAATTATATATATATATATTTTTTTTTTTTATGACCTCCCGCGGCCCCCTTGCAGTACCCTTGCGGCCCACCAGGGGGCCGCGGACCCCACTTTGGGAGACACTGTTTTAGACAATAGTAGTTAGACATTTTTGAGGGTGCGCGGCAGGCTACGTAAGGGCCTCGCGATGATCTCAGTGGAGGCGGGCCCCGGCTCAAAAGTGGCCAAAATGATGTGCGCTGACATGCTTGCAATACCACCCCGGGCCGATGGGGGTGGACCCAGAATAACAATTAGCCAATGCTAACATATAGCATTAGCTGACCTCTCCAAAACGTCTTTACAGGATGGACCAAAAGTTGGCTCTTGGCCCAAAGCTCCGTTCCACGTGTCAATGCTGAGGGGAGTGAATTTTTTTGGACCACTCTGGTTTGGTCGCTGTAAATTTTTGAAGTCTCTGACGCATGCGCAGATGCGTTTTTTCCATACAATTTTCTTGTGGGCGGGACCACTCGCGGCCTTTTGGATTGCTCCAGTAGAGCAAATTTTTTGACCCATTAGTTTGAACGGCGGAGATAGGCGTGACTACGTCCGTTAATATATACTGTACATCAGTCGTATTAAACACATGAATTATTTACATGAAATATCACAATTTTAAAACTAATGATTACTCTAAAAACAATTGTTGTAACAGAGAAAGTTTGATACAAAAGCCACCTTTTTGGGTTTTCATAATTACATCCACAATTAAGACCGTTAGCATTAGGGAGCTCCAATGTTTTTGGAGAGAGAGTCGGAATGACAAGATAATATAAGATGTACTTTATTAATCTCAGAATTGTGCAAAAAGTAAGAAATGTGCAACATGTTAATGCAGGACATATTATGCACAAAAAAGTGGCAATTAGAAAGTGGCAATCAAGAAAGAAATGTCAATAGTAGTGTAGGTTTTTTATCAGTCTTAATGCAGTGACTTAAAGCGACTTGTTGAACAGTCTGACAGCAGCTAGGATAAAGGCCCTGCGGTAGCGCTCCTTCCTACACTGAGGGTGCCTCAGTCTTCCACTGAAGGAGCTCCTCAGCTCCTCTACAGTCCTGTGCAGTGGGAGGTGTTGTTCATGATGGAGGTGGCTTTGGCTAGCACCCTCCTGTCCCTTACCTCCTCCACAGAGTCCAGGGAGCAGCCCAGAGTGGAGCTGGCCCTCCTGACTAGCTTGTTCAGTCTGCTCCTGTCCCGCTCTGTGCTGCCCGGGGCCCAGCACACGGCACCGTAGTATATGGCAGAGGCTACCATTTGACTGAAATCGAATCCAAAGTTACCATACTATTAAACAATATGGTAGAAAATTCTAATCAAATAAAGTAAATTCATTTTTGTTACATCAGATTTTTTTACATGCAAGATGCATCTCAAAACAAGTCCAGGTCTGTGACTGGTGAGAAACAATGTTGGAACATGGAGAAAAGAGAGAAAGACGATTTAGAACAGGGGTGTCATTCATGCGGCCCGCGGGCCGGATCAGGCCCGCCAAGAGATTTGATACGGCCCGTGGCTCGTTTATGTAAAATGATAATGATTTTTTAAAAAAATAATCCGCTCAGCAGCGAGTCCAGTGCGTCTGTAGCTGGCTCCAGCAGAGCGGTGCTGAAGGAATAACATCTTAAAGTACAAGACTCTGCGATACGGCACTTTGAGCAGAGAATTGAGAAGACAGAAGATAAATGTGTCTGGCCCTGAAGACACAGCAGTCTATTTGTGCCCAGAGCAAGAGGTTCGTGCTTCTACTATAAAGACAAGCTAAAAACATAGCATTAGCATCGCAGCCGCACGGTGAAAGAGTTGTTAAAACTCTCATACAGACTGCAGTCATAGTCTGAGAAACCACTCGCTGTCACCAACATGTTGCCATTGATAAGAGACTGATGTTACTGATGTCACATATTAATTTGTGGTGTTACTGAAACTATCAGAGGAGTTTTGAGCGCTGGTGCTGGTGCTGCTGCTGGTTCTGCTGTTGTTGCTGGTGCTGTTGGACAGTGTGGACTGGTCCTACGCTGTCAGTCTGGTACCGACGGTAAAAGCAGGTGTAGTGACAAAGCTGCAAATGGAGGTGATGATTTTTGGACATTTAACTGTATTGTACACAGACCCACTGCTGCAGTCGTTAAGAATAGATCACGTTATTGAAGTTGTTTTGTTCATTTCAACTGAAACATGGTCAGTTTGATGCTTTCTCTCTGATGATAATGATGATATGCTGTGTTAAAGTGCTTTTTTCTATCTACCAACTTTACCTTTGTGATTTAAGGCTCATTACAGAGAAAACTCTGTAATGAGCCTTTAAACAAAGCTAACATACATTTATTAATATAAATATTGTGAAATGCCATTTACAATGTAATATTGTAAATACATTACATTATTTGCACTGTAAAAAACTCATTGTTACATTTAAGTTTGTAACAGATTTACAGTTCAAACTGAGCGAGTATTAAAGGACTCGCTCAGTTTCCTTTAAACACATGTGCACTTTTTGTGCACATGTGTTTATGTGCACAAAAAGTTTTTTGGTATTTTTGTAGAGCATCTTCTGGTCCGGCCCACTTGAGATCCAATTAGGTTGTATTTGGCCCCCGGACCAGAATGAGTTTGACACCCCTGATTTAGAAGGATATTTCTGCTTCAAGGCTCCAGGATGTGAGAATGATCACTGTGGCACTTGGCCTGGACTTGGGAGCAGTCAGACCAGGGAAGGTCAGTGTCCCTCTCTCCGGTCCCCCTCTCTGGTCCCTCACTCTGGTCCTCATACAGTCTGGCCACTTTCTGGTCCATTTCAGATCTCTCTGGTCTCACATATATGTTATTTTCTGGTCCCACATATATGTATCTCATCTGTGTCCTCACGTCCCGTTCTGTGCAGCGATGACAGTGGCACAAATAAAGGTTATTTCTTATTTCTTTATTGATGTTATTTACAACAGAGACAACAGAACTCACAGTAAAAACCACTCTAGGTTTCCATGGTAACAGCCTTCTATGGTGATGTTCAAGACCATTCGCGGTTTCCATGGTAACGGCCATCTAAGCTTTGTGACATCACATTTTATTCCAAATATGAAACAGCTTAGGCTGGAGCAGGACGGGTCAGAGCAGCAGAGGTGGAGCAGGACATTAGTTCATGTAGGTCTGGGTCTGTCAAATCAGACATGGAGTAACTGACTCCGAAACACACACAAAGATGAGTTTGGACGATAACATGGCCCACCAACACCCGTGTGCCTGTTGTGCGCTCCTGGTAGACTGCAAAGTCAAAAACCAGGAGTTGCAGGCCTTCATTGCTAAGCGAGAATGGGGGATGGAGCAGGACCTCACCTGGTTTAGGGAACAGTACAGGGATTCCTTTAAGCGAAACCGTCTCAAAGAGATAGAAGAGCTAAAGGCTACAGCTGCGAGCCAGAAGGCCAATCTGACCAGTCAGATTGAAGACCTGAAGAAGGATCTGAAAGAGAAGACTTGTCAGTTGAATGAAGCGCAAAAACAGCTAAAGCTCGCTCAAGACGACAACGTCTGTGCCAAGTTGCGCAGAGATCTGAGGATGGCCGAGGTCAGAGAGAAGGACTCAACCCAAGCCAGAATATCCGACTCAACCCAAGCCAGAATATCTGAGCACCGAGGGTTTGAAGAGCAGCTTAGAAGAGCTCAAGAAGACCTGACAGCTAAAGACGAAGAGATCCTGGCTCTCCATAAAGCCAAGAATGAGTTCCTGTGTCGGCTGACAGATGAAGGTGAGGGTCCCGTTCATGCCAAACCAACCAAGATTAAGGATCTTTGTCCCATGGAGCACACACAGGTGGAAGGACATGAGGCCGAACTGACCTGTGTCATAGGATTGGCCCGAAAGCAAGAGACGCGTTTGAACGCCGCCCAGAGAAGTGTGGAACAAGAGCTCAGACAGAAACAGCTCCAGTTAGAAGTAAGAGATCTTCAGCTCCAGACTCTGACAGAGGCCAACGAGTTCATGATGCAGAACGTCACACAATTGACTGAAGATGTGACTCGTCTTCATCGGGAGATGCAACAGTTTGTGAAGGAGCCCACAACGTCTGAATGTGGAACAGAGTCACGGCCGCAGACGGTGGAACAGTCACATAGAGAGACTATACCTGAGGTAGAGGTGAGTGCGCAGGACCTGTGTGAGCAGAGGCGGCTGACTGCAGACTCCTCACAAGCGACGACAAACGTGAGGATGCCGTTCCAGGTGATTGAAGAGGAGAAGCAGCGCCGTAAAGAGAAATCCATTTGCAACGTCTTGTGTTGCTTCCGCCAGTCACATTTAGAGACTATGTCTGAGGAGGAGGCGAGTGCACAGAACCTGCGTAAGAAGAAGGGGCAGCTCATAAGGACAGGCGCTTTTAAACAGGCGAAGACTGCAGACTCCTCACAAAAGACGACAGACGTGAGGATGCCGTTCCAGGTGACTGAAGAGAAGAAGCAACGCAAAGGCTTGGGTTGCTTCAGTTGGATATGGAGAAGGAAGTAAGGCGTTTACTTCCGACAGGAGGGTTGTGGCGGCTGCATGGTTAGCAACCATGAGTCTGCTAACCATGCAGACTCATGGTTAGCATGAGTCTGCATGGGTGGGAGGTTATTGTGGCTGTGTTTATTCTGAGCTAAAATAAGACGTTTTTGAATTTAAGGACCACTTAAATTCAAAAACGCAAGGAGTCTTAACATTACTAACTCAGAATAAACACAACCACAATCAGAATCACTCTACACTTTAGTGCACACACTAAAGTATAGAGTGATTCTGATTGTGCACACTTCCAAGTGCACTCGGACCTCCCATCCGAGGCCCAGTGTGGCAAGGCACAGTACGACGAGGCCCAGTACGGCGGGGCCCAGTACCAGCGAGGCCCAGTGCCACGAGGCCCAGTACGGTTGAGGCCCAGTGCGAGCGAGGCCCAGTGCGGCGAGGCCCAATACAGCAAGTTCCTGCAGCACGGTCACTCCCTCAATGATGACTCCCACATCCTCTGGAGTGTCGTCATTGGACAAGTTCGCATAAATGCCAATCACAGTCTTTGACCTCTGCTCCTGGGCATCACAGGAATCAACATTCTAAACAAGGACCCAAAAATAAAATCATGATGTAATAAATTCCATTTCCAATAAGTTAAACGTATTCATTTTTCAATAGATATCAAGTAAGCTTATCAATGTCCCTTAATATTGTCAAAGAACTTTCGCAGTCAACTGGTCAAATTGTGGCATTACTTCTGCTGTACATTAAAACAACCGATTAATGGTTTAAAGTTCATATAAGTACTAAAATGTGACATTTTCTTAAGTACCACCTAAGATAATATCACATTTCCAGAGTGCCACCCGACTTAACCTGGGTCTAATCCTGAAATTAGGGGAAAAGCATTCCCCTATCATACAGAAAGGAAGACTATAACCTACAAATATCCTAACAAGCAGTCTTTGTTCTGGAATCAATCATAAGCTTTCTCAAAGAACTCTGATCAAGTCAATCTTAATGAGGTTAAAAAAAAAGAAGTTCCTCTGGCCTGGTTTTTGTGTGTGTGCCAGCCTATTTCAGAACAGGTACTCCCAGCAGTTTCTGATGATTTGTATTAATTTTTCAAGACCCACAGAATATTGTGTACTTCTGACTATCTGAAATCCAAACCAACCAGATTCTGAAAGAATGCACTGTCTACTTTCATCAGCAAAAATATTTTTTTTCTAGCTTGTTTCGTTCCCCTGTAATCCCCAGTCGAGTAGAGGGAAGTTTTAAAAAGCTTTAAAAAGCTGAGAAAAAAAGAGGCACAACTGCCTCTTTTTTTCAAAACATCCAGAGGCAGCGCTGGTGCCACCTGCTGGCTCGATAAAATATGCTCTTAACCTAATCTCCATACATATTAGAAACAATAAACATCTGGGAACAGGAAAATAGCGGAAACAGCATTTGACGCATTAATATGTCAATGGCACACAACGAGTTAAAGAAAAAGCAAAAAAAAAGACGCATATATATTCAGTTTGAACTTACCACATATTCTTTTATGAGGTTGGTTGGGTCTTCATTTAGATCAGGGGTGTCAAACTCATTCTGGTCCGGGGGCCAAAAACAACCTAATTGGATCTCAAGTGGGCCGGACCAGAAGATGCTCTACAAAAATACCAAAAAACTTTTTGTTCACATAAACACATGTGCACAAAAAGTGCACATGTGTTTAAAGGAAACTGAGCGAGTCCTTTAATACTCGCTCAGTTTGAACTGTAAATCTGTTACAAACTTAAATGTAACAATGAGTTTTTTACAGTGCAAATAATGTAATGTATTTACAATATTACATTGTAAATGGCATTTCACAATATTTGTATTAATAAATGTATGTTAGCTTTGTTTAAAGGCTCATTACAGAGTTTTCTCTGTAATGAGCCTTAAATCACAAAGGTAAAGTTGGTAGATAGAAAAAAGCACTTTAACACAGCACATCATCATTATCATCAGAGAGAAAGCATCAAACTGACCATGTTTCAGTTGAAATGAACAAAACAACTTCAATAACGTGATCCATTCTTAACGACTGCAGCAGTGGGTCTGTGTACAATACAGTTAAATGTCCAAAAATCATCACCTCCATTTGCAGCTTTGTCACTACACCTGCTTTTACCGTCGGTACCAGACTGACAGCGTAGGACCAGTCCACACTGTCCAACAGCACCAGCAACAACAGCAGAACCAGCAGCAGCACCAGCACCAGCGCTCAAAACTCCTCTGATAGTTTCAGTAACACCACAAATTAATATGTGACATCAGTAACATCAGTCTCTTATCAATGGCAACATGTTGGTGACAGCGAGTGGTTTCTCAGACTATGACTGCAGTCTGTATGAGAGTTTTAACAACTCTTTCACCGTGCGGCTGCGATGCTAATGCTATGTTTTTAGCTTGTCTTTATAGTAGAAGCACGAACCTCTTGCTCTGGGCACAAACAGACTGCTGTGTCTTCAGGGCCAGACATATTTATCTTCTGTCTTCTCAATTCTCTGCTCAAAGTGCCGTATCGCAGAGTCTTGTACTTTAAGATGTTATTCCTTCAGCACCGCTCTGCTGGAGCCAGCTACAGACGCACTGGACTCACTGCTGAGCGGATTCTTTTTTTAAAAAATCATTATCATTTTACATAAACGAGCCACGGGCCGTATCAAATCTCTTGGTGGGCCTGATCCGGCCCGCGGGCCGCATGAATGACACCCCTGATTTAGATACACAGCAAGGGCCTTCAGGGTAACACATCTCCTGGTGTCTGTGAGGTAGTGTAGCAAGAGTGGGTCAAAGTGGCAGAAGAACAAAACAAAGGCTCCAAAACTTGTAACAAAAAGGGTGGATTTATTTACAGTGCTCAAATATACATGTTCTCTCTCCAAAACCAACATGGAAAGTGCCTCTCCTCTCTCTCCCGAACAGCCAGCACGATCGCATCACCAATCTGCTCCTTGGTCTTGTCTCTCGGAGTCATCCACTTCTCATAGAGATCCTTCATCCGGCACTGCAGCTCCTTGGGCGTCTCATCTTCCTTAACGACCGTAGATCGGAACCGCATCCTGTAGGTCTCTGGACTGATTTCGAACTTCTCCAAAACAGCTCTTTTCACCAATACATAGTCCATAGTTTCAGAAATATCCATAGCCACATACGCTGCTCGTGCCTTTCCATTGAGAAGTGGGGCCAGGTGCAAAGCCCAGTCTTCATGTGGCCACTGGCAAGCTGTGGCGATTCTCTCAAAAGTAGTCAAATAGTGTTCAATATCCTCATCTTCCTGGTATGGCTGCATTTTAGGCCCTTTCCAACTGGGAATCCTCACCATAGCTGGAACATTGGGGCTTTCTGCTTGAGCTGCAGGTGCTGCACCGACCACCACTGGAGGAGTATCTGGACGCTCAGCTTTAACCTCCTGCTGAAGCTGGTCCACCCGGCGCTCCATGGACTGCCACCGGTTCTCCTGCTGTAGCTTTTCCTGCTCCCATCTTGAATCATGCTCAGTTTGCCTCCTCACCAAGCCCTGGAGCAGGTTTGCTATGTCCGCCATACTTGGAGTTTGTGGATCATCACAGAGGGCCTCCGCTCCTCCATATCCATTTTCCTCTCCATCTGCAAGGCTACTCACTTGAGGCTTACGCTTTGGAGCCATCTTCAAAAACTGGAAGCACCACTGCCACCATTTGTGAGGTAGTGTAGCAAGAGTGGGTCAAAGTGGCAGAAGAACAAAACAAAGGCTCCAAAACTGGTGCGGCTACTCCCAGAGTCTAACAGAGCCACATGTGGTTTGTCATCAATGATAACACAGACAGTTCTTTCATTACCATTAAGTGTAGACACATCTCGCACAATCTTGGATTGTGGGGCAAAACACATGTACGTCTTACTGACATGCTGGCCTGGACACTCAGATCTAACATGACCTGCTTGACCACATGAGTGACATACCACAGGTCCCTTGTGCTTAAACTCTCTAAACCTAGGGTTAGGCTCTGAATACCGAGGTATAGGGGCTTTTGGTCTAAACCCACTCGCACCCACAGGTTTACTCACTACAGGTGACTGAGGAGAAGCACTGGCTCTAGTCGATAAAGAACTCTTGAAAGAGCGGCGCGCTGACAAGAATGCTTCGGCCAACTCTGCAGCTTCCCTTGACGATGAAGGGTTGCGCTCCTTGATCCAGGTTCGTAGATCCGAGTTAAGCACTCTCAGGAACTGCTCCCTATCATCCACAAACAGATGGTCTTGTGGAGCGATTCAACAAAACACTTAAGTCCATGTTGAGAAAGTTTGTGTCTGACTCAGGGGGTGATTGGGACCAATGGCTGCCCTTTGTGTTATTTGCATATAGGGAGGTGCCACAGGCCTCTACAGGTTTTTCCCCCTTTCAGTTGCTCTATGGACATGTGGTTCGTGGACCTCTGGATGTACTGAAAGACGCTTGGGAAGCCCCAAATCCTGAGGTACCATGTAGTGTTTTGGCCTATGTTTTGAAAATGAGAGACAAATTGGAAGAGTTTCAGCAGTTGGCTAATTCTCATTTGTCCCAAGCTCAGCAAAAACAGAAGCTGAACTATGACAAGGCAGCTCACAGACGTTCCTTTCAGGTGGGACAAAAAGTTCTGCTTCTGCTGCCTACCTCAGAAAGTGGACTTTTGGCAAAATGGCAGGGTCCTTTTGAAATTTCCCAGAAAGTGGGCCCTGTAACATACGAACTATACATGCCAAACAGGAGGAAGAAACGTCAGGTATTTCATGTCAATCTTTTAAAAGCATGGACCGAGCGAGCATCGTCGATTCAACTGTGGGCTCGGTCTGTTACGGAAGAGGAAGAGTGTCCGGAGCTTTTCTTCCCCTCGTCGAAAGGAGACCAGCTGCTCCCAGATCTCTGTCACCTCTTGCCAGACCAGCAGGAGGAGCTACACCAAATCATGGATCCGGCTCTGTTCAGCACTACGCCCGGCTTCACTGATCTGATCCGGCATGACATCAGGCTTCGTGACCCCAACCAGCAACCCATCAGAGACTCAACGTCCAGGATTCCAGCTAAGCTGTTGCCTGCGGTGAAACAGGAGGTGGAAGACATGCTTTCCATGGGAGTTATTGAACCTTCAAAGAGTGAGTGGTGTAGTCCTGTTGTTTTAGTCCCTAAGAAGGATGACCCCAGACAAAGATTCTGTGTTAATTTTTCAAAGCTAAATGCAGTTTCTGCCTTTGATGCATATCCAATGCCTAGAGTAGAGGACTTGATTGAGCGTCTGGGCAATGCTAAATTTCTCACTACTCTTGATTTATGCAAAGGCTATTGGCAAGTGCCATTATCTGAGACTTGTAAAGACTTAACTGCCTTTAGAGTCCCAAGTGGGCTGTATCATTTCAGGACTATGCCTTTTGGACTTCACGGGGCGCCGGCGACGTTTCAACGGCTGGTAGATGAGGTTCTCAGGGATGCAGACGATTAACATTGATGATATTGTGATATTTAGTGAATGTTGGGAAGATCACGTTGAGCACGTGAGAGATGTGTTTTGCAGGATTCAAAGAGCTGGACTGGTGATGAATGCCCAAAAGTGCCACATTGCTAAGACTGAAGTGGAGTATTTGGGGTACATCATTGGGGGTGGAGTCATACGTCCTCAGGTTGGTAAAGTTGAGGCACTACTGGCCTACCCACCTCCGACAACCAAGCGGCGGATTAAATCATTCTTAGGTTTGGCTGGCTGGTATCGACGCTTTATACCAGGTTTCTCCACAAGGTCAGCTGTTCTCAGTGATTTGACTAGGCTATCCAGCCCTAACAAGGTTAAATGGACTCCTGAATGTGAGGCCGCATTTAGAGACATTAAGGACTGTTTGTGTAAAGAACCTGTACTGCAATGTCCAGATTTTTCTCGCCCTTTTGTAGTGCAAACAGACGCATCTGGAGTTGGACTTGGAGCAGTGTTGCTGCAGGGTGAGGGTGAGGACCAAAGACCGGTTCAATACATAAGTCGCAAGCTCTTTCCCAGAGAGACAAGGTATTCCACTGTTGAGAAGGAAGCCTTAGCAGTGAAGTGGGCCTTGGACACTTTGAAATATTATTTAATGGGGGATCAATTCATCCTTGAGACGGACCATCGAGCTTTGCAGTGGATGAACAAAATGAAGGACAGTAATGCTAGGATTACCCGTTGGTATTTGTCTTTGCAACCTTTTTGTTTCAGGATCCGATACAGGCCTGGAAATAAGAATGTGGTTGCTGATTTCCTGTCTCGTTCATATGAGGTCTAATTTTTGTAAGGGAGGGGGAGTGTGACGAAGTGAGTCTTACAACTCCACTTGTCCCTTAGTACACCCTTGGTTCCACACACACACAGGTTCTGTCAAATACACTCTCATATCCCGGGCCTTGTTTGTGTAAGTTTGTCAGTTCCACATACTCACTCATTCACATACATACATTCCATTTGCAACAGTTGGCTTTGTTAAAAACACCAAACACTATAGTAAGGTTTAAACATGTTTATTCATTTGTTTAGAGGGAGCTCTGCTTCTAACTTACCTGCTCCATGCGGCATCCGATTAAAGGGGAAGGCCGCAGAGCATTTCCTGGTTTTAACCCTTTGGAGTGAGCCCTTTGTCTAGCTCCACCCATTAAAAGGAGGGGTTTGATAATTAACCTGGTTTAGGGGTTTAATGTTGATTGGCATCATTGTTGTTTAACTGTGTGCATGCTTTGTTGCTGTCTGTGCAGTAATTGCTGCTTGTTTGTTTCCAGATGCATATTACTGTATATAAAAGCATATTCCAGCCGAGTGGGAGGAGCCAGTCAATTTAGGCCACGTATAAATGCCAGGTGTGCTGGCTGTTCGGGAGGGAGAAAGGAGAGGCACTTTCCATGTTGGTTTTGGAGAGAGAACATGTATATTTGGGAGCACTGTAAATAAATCCACCCTTTTTGTTACAAGTTTTGGAGCCTTTGTTTTGTTCTTCTGCCACTTTGACCCACTCTTGCTACACTACCTCACAGTGTCAATGGAGTCTCCCTGAACAGGGGAAAATAGTTTATGTAGAGTTAAAATATTTTATGACAATGTAATTGCATGATAAAATAAACCAACTAAAAGAATAATTACAACTTAAATTTACACATCCTTCTATTTTAGAGTAGCATTTTCTGACACACAGCCCAGAACCTTATTGGCCAGATATTTTAATGTTGGCCCAACGTTATCAACTTTAAAAGACTAAAGACTGAAGACGCCTTACTCTGCCCACATGGAAATGTGAAAATTCTCTAAAAAAGGGCGATGCTTGGAGGACCAAGGGACAATGGGGGGCTTTTTTATCTGACAAGCGTGTATGGACATTTTTTTAAGACGTGTTTAATATTCTTTGTGTTGAACCTAAGCCACAGAATTATATAACAATAATAATAATATTATAAACTAATAGATGTCGCCAGAATATTCCCAACTCGCTACTGGGAATGTGTGAGACTTTGATGCTGGAGTGGAAAGCATCAAAGAAAGCAGCTAGACATCCGTCGTTCTGCGCCTGTACTGCACAGTTTATAAGTTATATATAAGTTAGATATGCAACAGAACTCTAGTCCACAGGCTCCGCGTATATCAGGCTCTGCCATGAGCCCAAACTCTTTTCCTTCGGTTCCTTCAAAGCGTGAAGCAGTCTGCTCCATAGTGTCTCGTCCATGTTCCTGCAGCCGCTCCGTGCTGCCCAGAAAGTAATCACACACGGACCAATCACAGCGGAGCTTCTCTGCGGCGCGGCTTGCAAAGTGATCATCATTTATTAAATTGTGAAATTATATATGTAATCATGAAATTGTATAGTTTTATATCAAAAGTCTCTGAGGTCAAATGAGTTTGTGCTGGACACAGACTGTCACAAGACAGAAACAAAAATGTCAAGAGTTTAAATTGATGACAGTAGACAAAATAGGGAACATTTGCTTCCTGTTTCTCCAAAATGTTTTTCAGAAAAGTGATAAGATAAGATAAGAATTCCTTTATTTGTCCCACAGTGGGGAAATTTTGATGTTGCATCGCACATATAGGACAGTAGTAAGAGCACACAGGGAGCACACACAATATATACAAATAAGTAGTAGCTATGTTTCTTAGCTAACATAACTAGCTGTAGATGCTGAAAATGCTTCAATACCAGTCAAGAGATATATGTAGTAGTGCAGTTATATACTGTACAGTTAAATAGTGCAGGATAAAAAGTATATAAGTAAAGTGACATTGTTCTGTGACATTCTGAAGTTGCAGTATTGCACATTGCACATGATTTAAGAATTTACTTAGTTACAGATGAATGAAATTTACAGGCTCAGCAGTTCTTATTGTACAGTCTGACAGCAGCAGGAAGGAAAGACCTACGGAACCTCTCCTTCACACAGCGAGGGTGAATTAGTCTGTCAATGATGTGGCGAAAAGGACTTCAGACCAGGACCCGAGACTGAGATCTGGTCTGGACCGACGTCGCCTGATGAAGCCACGCCGCTTCTGCACATTTTTAATTATACCATATGTGAATAATGTTGTCAGTTTTGAGCAGGGTCAGATAGACAGAGGTCATCGCAGAGCGCCTGGTTGACCTCTCTCACATAGTTTAGGGACAGTTACTTTAAGCTCAGCTCATAGGATT